AGCCTATCTGTATATATCATACATGTTGCATATTGACAACAGACTCAAGGAGAGAGAGAAAACCAGAAATGGACCTATATGTCCATTTCGTTTCACTCCTTCTACTCCTGGAGTTGCACCTGGACCTGAAGTTATGCAGTTGGGAGTAATGAAGTTATCGGAAGCTGAGAAACAGTACCACCAGGCTGAAGGTGTATGCCTTTATTGTAGAAAAAAGTGAAATCTATGCAGATCCTGTCTGGTTCATCCAGACAACTCAAATACTTAAGAACAGTAAGGAAACCGGCATTTCAGTGTTATGCATATTACCGATCAGTTCGGGAATTCCGAAATTCGGTACTTTGGCAATTCGGACATTTGTAAGCATCCCTCTCTTGTCACCACAGCAACTTACACATCTGTAGGGCTTCCTAACTCTAACCCTCCCCCTAACCCTCACCACCACAACTACTTACACATCTACGGGTAGGGTTAGGTGCCCAGACTGCCACCACAACCACTTACACATCTATAGGGCTCCTAGTGCCAGGAATTTGCTTATTGGTCTAGATTCCTGTCATCATTCACGCAATTTTCCCTCCCTCTCTTGTTTTGCCACTTTTCAGAAATCCGAGGCACTTCGGCACTTCCGAAATTCGGCACTTTGGCAATTCGGTTCAGTTCGGCACTTCTGAAATTCGACAGTTCTGTTCAGAAATTCGGAAGCATCCGAATGTCCGAAATGCTGAAATTCGTCCGGACTTACATTCGGAACAAAACGAATTGCACATGTCTAATGCAAATGTCCTCTACTATGCTTCACAATTGACTTCTTTCCGTTAACATCTCTTGAGGTAATCTGAAAATAAATTATAAAGCTCTCACAGATTCTGAAGCTTTTATTGCTCATCACCTCAATCCTCTTAGGGAGAGATCCACACCTTTGGCCGTTGAGGCCATAGATGGTAGAGCACTCCAGAAACCAATAATGATTTTATACATAGATCATCCCCACCTGCAGGAGCAGGGTCTTTCTTTGTCTCAAAAAAGTAGGGTGATCTACGCCCTTGTTTAGATTATAGGGTTCTTAAGATAACCATCAGAAATGTCTGTCCTGAAGCTCTTATCACAGAGTTATTTATAGACTGTAAACCCCCACAGTGTTTACAAAACTTGATCTTAGAAGTAAGTTTAATTTTGTAAAATGAAAGGATTGTCATGAATGGAAAACCGCATCTAACACAAGAAGTGGACATTACAAGTATCTAGTAATGCTGTTCGGATTGTGCAATGCACCAGCAGTATTCCAAGACTTCATTAATGATATTTAAAGAGAATACATACCTCTGTTCTTGTATGTCTAGATGATAAACTTATTTACTCTCCTGACCTGTCCATTTACCAAGTACTTCACACTCTATTACAGAATGTGTTATACTGTAAATTAGACAAATCTAATTATTTAATCAATAAGAGTTGCAAGTCATGGGTTATATCATCTCAGCCTCTGGTTTTAAAATGGATCCAAACAAATTAGAGGCTGTCTTGCAATGGCCCAAGGGATCAAAAGCAATCCAAAGATTTATAGGATTTGTGAACTAGCACCACAGATTCATGAAAGGTTTTACTTCTGTCATTTCACCTATTACCAGCCTCATTCATAAAGGAGTCAATACCCAGGTCTGGTCTCCAGAGGCTATTTTCACTTTTGAACACTTAAAATCCCTTTCTGCCTCTTTTAATATACAAGTTCCATCAAAACCCTTAGTTTTGGAGGTAGATGCCTCTGAGACAGGAGTAGGAGCTGTTCTTTCCCAAAAGGAGACACAGCATACCCTCTTTACTTTTGGCTTCTTCTCCAAAATGTTGTCTGCTGCTGAAGTAAACTATGACATGGGAACATCCCACCAGAATGCATAGTAGCCTCTACTCTACTGTCCATGTCTTCTTAATTCATAGAAAGTATACAGACAGATCAAGAACAGACTCCTGCTGAGAAAAAATAGAACAAGCTATATGTACCATGTGCAGAATGAAATGATATTCTCTTTTTGTAAGATGGAATTTTATTGGCTTTTTTCTTTGTGTATTTCATATCACATTTAGATTGCAGCACAGAGGTAGGACCTGCAGGTTCTTGACAAATAAATGTACTTTTAACATTCTAGCTGTGCAGGGCTGTGATAAGCAAGTCGAGTAGTTGAGTAATAAAGTCGTTAGTATATATCACAAGTATCATGAACAGTTACGTAACAACAAATAAAAATTAATATATGTTCAGACAACGTGGGTGGTTTTGATGTGTATTCTGTAGAACCTTGTGTTAGTGTACAGTGAGCCGGGGTCATTTAAATATGTGATAGCGTTGTGGCCCCAAGTTCCTGATTCCCCGCAGTAAGCGTGCCTCCTGGTGAGATGGTAAACCAGGTGACTCTGTGAGTGGCCGTCTGGTTAGCTCCTATGTAGGTCCTAGTCCCCATCCTCCCTCTCCACCCCTCCCTATATAGTGGTTCAGGTACTAGTTATTAAGTTTAATATTTTGTTGCTCCTTTGTGACATGACCGGACTGATTATTGTAATGATGTTGTAATGCTCCCCTTCACGGGATCCGATTGGTCAATCCAAGCATAATACGAGAAAAAAATGGACCCTCCACATTCTATCCACAGTAGAGATGTTTCCTTTCTCTTCTCGAAGTGGTGGATGAAACTGGGAAGAGGGCGTTAACTGCACCCAGGGATGAATTAGGGATCATACATTTTTTTCTCTAATGTTTCTTCTGCCTGTTCTGCCAATACATTCCTAAGAAAAAAGTACCTAAAAAAATAGATGGAAGTAAAGCTGAAATCTTCTAGTTTAACTATTTTGCCCTTACATTTTAAATTCTCTTTGAATTCTCCCCTCTTTAGTGAATAACCCTGCTTGCCTTACAATTTGAACATATCTAATGGTCTCCAGATAAGTAACAGTTTAAAAAATGTTTTACATAGATTATGCATTAAAGGACCACTCTAGGCACCCAGACCACTTCAGCTTAATGAAGTGGTCTGGGTGCCAGGGCCCTCTAGGATTAACCCTTTTTTTTATACATTCAGAGAAACTGCTATGTTTATAAATGGGTTAATCCAGCCTCTAAATCCTCTAGTGGCTGTCTCATTGGCAGCCGCTAGAGGCGCTTGCGTGCTTCTCACTGTGAAAATCACAGTGAGAAGACGCAAGCGTATATAGGAGGCGGAGAGGAGGAGGAGAGCTCCCCGCCTGGTGCTGGAATAAAGGTAAGTTTAACCCCTTTCCTCGCCATCCAGTCCGGCGGGAGGGGGACCCTGAGGGTGGGGGCACCCTCAGGACACTATAATGCCAGGAAAACTAGTATGTTTTCCTGGCACTATAGTGGTCCTTTAAAAATAAAAAAAATAAAATATATTAAAAGATAATATTATAAAAGGTCCTTGCTAAACCATTGTTTAGTGGGTCTGCCTGCAGACAGACCTCTTCCTAATGTCATGGTAACTTTGCTGTGTTATTCTTGAGTCCTTCAAGCAAAAATGACTCAGGATGTTCCAATCCTGCATCCTTTATTAATGCAGTCTTTACCTTTCCCAGTTCCAGCTCATCTTCAGATGTCAACTGTTCATCCGTGCACATGCACATTTTGGTGCAGACTAGACTGCACATAATGCCAAAGTCAGACAAACTGGCCTATATATTATAAGTCCACCTCAAGAGTTGCCCTTTTCATGGTTCCTGATACCCTTAAGTGCACAGAAAGTGGTGATCTGGTCATATAAAACGGCTCAAAATACTATACATGACAAACTTTAGATTGAAATGGTATATCTTTTAGGTTAGATATTGTATAACTTTAAAAGGTGTTTGGATATGGACTCCATAACTTAAGCAATCTATCATGTGTAAACATGTTTGTTTTTGTTTTTTTATATTTTTTTATTGATGTACTTCATCAAGCCTGCAGGTCATTAGAATTGGAATATGAACATTGTAACCACTCAAACCTCTTCACAATACCCTGCCCACTATGTCTGCAGCAATCTGAAATCAACAGCCATACACAACCTATTCCTCTCAAACTCACTCACACTACTAGCACTCACGGGGACCTGGCTTTCCTCCTCTGATAGTGCTACTCCTCCTCTTTATGTTTTGGTGGGCTACAATTCTCCCAGACCCAACAATTGTAAAGGAGGTGGTGTAGGTATCCTTCTCTCCCCTCAATGTACATTTCAACCTATCCTCCCTGCCCCTGCCCTATCCTTTTCTTCCTTTGGAGTTCACACTGTCCACCTATTTAAACCCACTCCTTTAAGAATTGCTATCATCTACAGCCCCCCCGGTTATCCTAGACTATTCATTGAGCACTTTTCTTCCTGGTCACCTTTCCTCTCCTCTAGCAATCATTCCCTTATACTTGGGGATTTCAATATCCCAATCAAAAACACCCAACTGCACTGATGCCTCTCATCTGCTCTCTGTAACCTCCTCCTTTGGCCTCACGCAATGGTCTAATTCAGCAACCGGAGCAAAAAGGCAACAGGGCGGAAAAGATATTTAAAGTGTGGAATAGTCGTTTGGGTTCGCGGGAGAGTGTGCTTATGAGGGTATTGAAGTAATTTACTTTTGCAAAGGAAAGAGCCAAGCTGTAAGAGCACAGCATAAATTTGTAGTGGAGAAAGTCAGATGTGGAGTGATACTTTCTCCAGCAGTTGTGGAGCATATTTGGAGGTAATGAGTCAGCTTGGCATGCCAAGGTTGTAGTTGGGGGCGCTTGCTGCGTTTAAGTGTAGGAGATGCCATGATGTCTAATTGAGAGGAGAGGGTGGAATTGTAGCAGGAGATTGCAGAGCTAGGGCAGGTGAGATTTCAGATAGGTAAAAGTTTGGATGTTAGTTGAGAAGTTCTCTAGGTCAAGACATTGGAGTTTCCTGTGATCTTGATGTGTAGAGGGTGGTGTCAGTTGGGTCCTGGGTGTGATGATGTTAAAAGTCAGCAGATGGTGGTCAAATAGAGGAAAAGGAATATTGGAGAGATAAGAGGCGGTACAGAGGTTGGTGAAGGTCAAGAGTGATCAAGAGTGTTTCCCGGAAACACTCTTGATCACTCTTGACCTTTACCAACCTCTGTACTGCCTCTTATCTCTCCAATATTCCTTTTGGGTAGACCTCTCCTAGCTCAGAGAGTGTAGCAGGAACAGTTTATAATAGCTAGTGATTATACTCAGGGGAGTGATATAGCAATCCCCAGGGTGTATGTAGTTCTCCAATACCGCAAACATGAGCCAAGACTTCATGAAGGGGTAAACAAATCTCAGTTTAATGGAAGCCACACTTGGCCTTATGACAATCCCCATGCAAGGGGTACGCCCACATGGACCTTGTGGGGAACTGAGTGACAATATTCCCAGACCAATAAGAACAGTATTCCAATGCACGACACTCCCAGACATAGCATACAATCCCTCCCCTCTGCCTGGGAGATAATTGAGTCAGATACTGTGTTAACCCAATTATCTCCAGGCAGAAAAAACACACATTTCTATAAATTTCCAAAAGAACCCAAAACACACAATATCTCCACAAATGTCACATCCACTGATAGGCCTGATCCGGGTGACCAACATATCCAAAAATCACCCAGATCAGCTCAGGGGTTCAGGAATTTTATGAAAGTCACAGAGAATCAGGCTGTAGTCAGTCTATTTTGGTAATTCAAAATAAAGTTCAAAATACCAAATGTAGCCTTTCGTGAGTAGTCAGTGTATGTCTCTTGTTCTGGAGTTTATTCTTATCGAACGCCGTTCAAATAGCCGAAAATCCATGGAAGGTAAATCTTTAGCGGTGTTCATGCCGTCGTGTGTCTGATTTGAGTTCCATAAACTCGGCGACCAAACACTGCTCATGGTACTCGCAGCATAAGATGGCCGCTGCCACGTGTTTGAATGCCGCTTCGAACCACTTCAACCATTCGGGAGTTCGAAGTGCCACTTCCAAAAGCCAGTGGCGAGGTTACTTTCGTCACACTAATGATCTACCATTGTGTACTAATGTAACACAATGCCATATGTGAGAAAGGGCATTTTATATGTTCTGTTTCAGATGGTTGTTTCCTGCACTGCTGTTTTACTTTTCCACAATGAAAGACGGATTGTCTCATGGTGACTATTGATCTGCTTAGATGTTCTGCAACTTAATCAGTTGTGAGAGGGGTTCTTCTAAAATAGCATGTAATCGTATGTCTGCTTTTCACGAATCGGGCTATATTATTATTTTAAAGAAACTGTTAAAGTATGTATTTACTGTTGTGTTTTAATATATATTTTTTTATGGAGCACAATATGAAACCGTTATAATTAACCCCAATCTATATATTTTTTTTTTTTACCAAACCCACACATTTCTTTAATCCCCAAGCCCTGTTCCTATAGTAGACTCATTTTGGGATAATGTGGTAATGGTTGTCTGAAAGAAAACAGAAGTCATTAAAGATACAATTATAGATCTCACAACTATGAAAGAGTAAGAAATATAGTATACTAGCTTGTTGTCAACCCCTTGCTTCCCCCTCATGTTATTTAAACAGATCTCTTTTCCTCAAACTTGACCTTGTTCCTGGTAGAATCTCTCAGTTTCCCCTAAACTCATCTCATACTTACTACTATTATAATAACTTTATTAAATTTAGATATTTCCTCATTTATTAAAGGGACACTTCTTCCCATTAAAATGGTCTGTTTAACCCAACGATGCTTACACTGCAGGGTTAACTGTCTTCTACACCAGGGAGACTAGAGGCGCTTCCTGGTCTTTAAAAGAGTTATACTCTGTGAAACTGGATGTTCTCACACTTTGCATGAGGACATCCAACGTTTTCAGATTCCAAATAGGAAATCATTGATTCATTCGCCTTAGGTCCCACCATTGCTTTTATGTCGAAGGAGAATCGTCGCTGGAAAGAGGTAAATGGAAAAAGTGGTTTTAATCCTTTAATCACCAAATGGTGTGTGTGGGGGCTACTCATTTAGAAACAGGGACACTATAGCGTTAGTAATACAAACCTGTATTCCTAACACTATAGTGTCCCTTTAACTACAGCACACTACCCAGTGCTGTAATCACAAAACTTTGCCACTGACTATTAGGAACAGAGAAATTAATGGGACACAAAACCAAACATGGAGTGTGCTTCTCTGATCCAGGGCCGTCTATAATATGAATAGGACCCTGGGCAAAGCATTTTCTTGGGCCCCCTGGGCCCTGTCCCTGCGCCCCCCTCTCCATTACGCCCAACCCGCAATCAGTATGCAGTGTGTGTGTCGTGGATGCTGTATGTTTTTGTGTCATGGATGTAGTGTGTATTGTATGCAGTGTGAATTGAATACATTGTCTGTGTGTGAATAGTGGAGACAGTGTGTCTAGTGGATGCAGTCAGGGTCGGCACTACAAATAAGGTGACTACCTCCCCCCAATAATCTCCAACATACAGCCACTGTCCCCATCACAATAAAGCCCCAGTCCCCCACAATACTGCCTCTATTCCCCAATACTACCCCTATCTCCTCTGGCTAAAGCCCCTGTCCCAGACAGTACTGCCCCTATCCTCCCAACTTGACCCTAATGTACAGCGCTACAGAATTTGTTGATGCTCTATATAATAATAATAGTAATAATGTCCCTATCCCCCACACTGAAGCACAGTGACACATGAAAGGGCTGGTGGGCAAGTAAGAGACGCAGGGTGGTGTATGACACAGTAAAGAGGGATATAATACTCTAAAGGGGGTGTAACAAACTCACAAATGGGTAAGGCATTCAAGAGGAGATATATAACACTTAAGGGGGTAAGAAATTTAAAAGAGAGGTTACGAGACACACAGGTGAAGATACATTTGGAGGGGGTGGGGGTTGGCAAAATGCATCTTGGACTGTATTGAATCCTTGCACCGGCCCTGGATGCAATGTCTATGTCAGTGGTAGTCAACCTTTTTCTACCTACCGCCCACTAATTCATCTTTCTTGATGGAAAAATTTCCTTACCGCCCACCAGTTTTCGCGCAAGTGCAGAAAATTTTTTTTGTAGAAAGGAGGGTGTTTTTAAAAAAAATAAATGTACGTACATTTATCTTTTTATTTCTACTTAATGCATGTTTATAATGTTTTTATCTTTATAAAGTTTAATGAGAAAACTATAAAGTAAATTTAAATTACCTTTACTAGTGATTAATGAGATCCTTGAGGTTGATGCTGCGAGCCTAAATATTTGATATCTGGGTCGATTTTCGTAAGGAACAAATGAAGGTCTCCTCTTTCGGTGATATTCAGACGACGTCTCTGTTTGCGCCCCTTCTCTCCCTCCTCAATTCCCCTCCCCACTTTTTTTTTCCTTTTTTCTATTTTTTAATTTTCCTTATAGCAATGCCCAGTAGGAGGGCTGAGCTAGGTAGCCCACTTACTATTACTTACTATAGCCCACTATAACAGACAGGAAGACACACATACACACACACAAGACACACATACATACAAAGACGCATACATACATACATACAGACACACAGACAGGCACATATACACACATACAAACACACACACACAAGACAGATACATACACACAGACACATACATAGAAAGACACATACACACACAACACATACATACAAATACAAGACACACATACATACACACATATATACAGACAGACACACACACACACACACAAGACATACATACAAAGACACACATACATACAAAGACACATACATAAGACACACATACAAAGACACATACACACACATACAGACACACACAAGACATACATACAAAGACACACACATACATACAAAGACACACACACAAGACATACATACAAAGACACATACCCACACAAAATATTTTAGTCACCCTTCTGTTTCCTACATTTTAGGTGCAGGAGGGTGACATTCCCTTGGGTCCAGTGGTGGCTCAGGTGGATGGGAGTCAGAGTTCCCACTCTGACTCCCTCTCGCGCGGCCTGTGTTAGCAGTCACTTCCTCCCAGCTCTGTGTGATGTAATTACAGGGGGCCTGGTCGTGCTGTTAAAGTGCCCAGCACTGTTAAAGCGACCAGGGCTGACCGGGCCCCCTTAAATCCATAACCATTAACTCCTTGGACGGCGGCCCGGTGGTTTGCCGCGCAGGCCGGGGCCGCAAATGGTGATGGTGGGTACCTGGTCGCAGGGGTACCACTGGCTCGCACCCGCCCGCCCAATCTCTCAAAATGAGGAAATCCCTACCGCCTACCTGGAATCCTGAAACGTCCACTACACAGACACTACTATAGACACTACTATATGCACAGACACTACATGCACTACACAGACACAGACACTATATCCACTACATAGACCATGGGTCCTGAAACGACCCATGGTCTATGTAGTGGATATAGTGTTTGTGTCTGTGTAGTGCATGTAGTGTCTGTGCATATAGTAGTGTCTGTGTAGTGCGTGTAGTGTTGGATAAATGCTGGATAAATGTTGGATAAATTAAATTGGGCCTATCACCCCCTGCCTGCCTGTTACCTGTGGGCTGGAAAGGGGAGAAGGGGGAGTAGTTAGGTCACAGTATAAGGGGTACAATGTGTATGAAGTTGTCAGTATGGGGGGCAGTGTGTGTAGGAAGGCTGTGGGGGCAGGTTGTGGTGGTGACAGTGTGGGGGTGACAGTGGTGGGGGCAGGATATTGTGGTTACTGGTGGGGGGCATGATGTGAGGGTGACAGTGACAGTATGTGGGGGACAGTGGTGGTGGACACAATGTGAGCAGGGCCGGACTGGGAAAAAAATGAGGCCCGGGCATTTTTCAATTAGAGCGCCCCCCCAAGAAGGGGGCGGGGCCAGAGAGGGTGTGTTTTGTCATCACTAATGACAAGTATGCCCCTTCTGAAAGTGAGCATGTTGGTTCAATGTGCAGAGCTCCGCTGAAGAGCTCTAGCATTAGAAAAAGGCCCTGTATTTGTTCTGCGCAGCACAAGCAAATGTAATAACATGCTTGCGCTGTGTTTGCTTTTAAATTGTCTCTGGTGTCTCCACAAGTGGGATACCAGAGGATAAAAGGGCAAGGAAAGTGTATGGGGCATGTGTTTGGCGCATGCTTGTGGGATTGCCTGTGTGTGTAGAGTGTGGTGTG